TTAAAATGTGAGAAACACCATTATAGATCTTTTAAATTATTTTATCTTTCTCATCACTGACTTTATCATAGTTCAGGCCTTTATTCCCTATAGCTGCACTATTATAATTGCTTCTTAATTTGTCTCTGTTTCAGTTCATGGTTAACTTTCTAAAACTCAGCTCAAAAACTTTCAATGGTTTCTTAAAGGCTTAGTGAGTAACGTCCAAACTACTTACTTGCCTAGTAGACAAGGTCCTATACAACATGCCATGACCTGACTTTTCCATCTTATTTCATTCACTAAACAGCTCCAGTATCGGAAAGCATGCTGAGACACAGGTTTCCCCCGCTGTCTGAAAGTAGAGCATTCCTATGAAACCTTTCATAAGCTGGAATGGCATACAGTGAGGAATCAGTTTTATTTTGTAAAAGCAAAAATCTTCTTTGAATTCTTTCAGTTAGCAAAATCAGGTACTAATGTAGATCTTTTGTACAATCAAAGCACCATAAAGCAAACTTTTGGATAACAGGGCAAACCTGTATTCATTCTTTCTTCCATTTAATATTTACTATGTGTCACTCACTGTGTTGTGTGGTAGGTAAACAAATGTGGACAAAGTCAGATTCCTGCTCTAAATTAACTGACAATCAGGCTGCAAGGGATGGCAGTGGGGATTGGGAAGAAGCATATATTTAAACAACTAATATAATTATGGATTGGGAATCATCCTCAAGTACCACAGGCAGAGAGGCATTAATTCTTAAGGAGGAGTGAGGAGTGGGGGAGGGAGATGGAAAGGTTTCAGAGAAGAGAGTATATTTGAGAACTTGAAGACTATATAGAATTTTGCTATACAGCACAGGGCGGAGAAGGGCATTCCAGACTAAGAAAACAACAACATAAAAGCATCCATGAAATGGTATAGCCTTTCAAGGGGAAAGCAAGTAATTCACTCAGGGAATAAAAAAGAATGGGAAATGGCATGGAATTGAAATATTGGCAGACCGCTTTAAATTATTATTTACTTATTTGTACCAAGTGTGGGTCCAAAGGAAGAATATCTGAGACAGTTGGCAGGAGATCAAGCTAAAAAGGTAAAATTAATTATAGATTACTCCACTCCATGTATGCTTTGCAATAATCAAATCACAAATGACATGCTTTTTAAACTTCCTGTGATGGTCCCTTCATATGTTAGGTTTTATGGTGAAATATTTCGGACATTATGAGTATACAAAACAGTTTGATATACAATAATAAAAATGAACATCCACAAACTCACTACTATCTTAGCTTTAGATATTCCATCCGATTCCTTCAAGATCAAATTCCCCTTCCTCCCCGCTCACAGAGAAGCAGGAGTCTGAATTTTATATTCCTCTCCCACCTGGATGGGGGAGGAGGAAAGGTGATTTTCCTCCACCAAGGGGAGAAAGAGAGACCCCAAGAATTCACTCATAAAGTTTGGGTGCTCCAGAATGAGTTCTTTCCCCACTAAGTCAAGGGCTGGGAAGTATTTTCAACCCTGCAAATTGCTGAAGTATGGACGAACACAATGTCTCATGCTGCCAGATAAGAAGGAGCAGGAGAGAGGGAAAGTGGTAAACCAAGAGGGAACATCTGTGAAGCAGCCTGCGGGCACACAGCTAAAAGTAGCAAAGGTGTCTGAGTTTTCTGTAGTTCAAATGAATATTATAGGTTACCTGAAGAGGGTCACTTCTGGTCAAGACAGTCCTAGCAACAGAGGCTGTGGTAAGGACAGAGGGAAGAACGAGAAACTCAGGTAAGAGACAGATATCTCACACCAGGGAATGGGAAGTGGAGACACACCAGTAGACTTTCAGAAGAAGCCACAAATCACCCTACAAAAGAGCCAGCACTGAATGTCTGCCACACAGAAGCATTTTCCAGAGAAACAAACCATTACGCTGCTGTCATACAAGGAAACCTTATTTCACTCAGCATAATGCCCACAAGGTCCATCCACGTTGTCACAAACAGTAAGATTTTCTTTTTTTATGACTGTTTCCTTGTGTGTGTGTATGTGTGTATATATTTATATATATATATATATACACACATACACACACACACACACATACATACAACTTCCTTATCCATTCATCCACCAATGGACACTTAGGTTGCTTCCATATCTTGGTTATTATAAATAAATTCTCCAGTGAACACAAGGGTGCATACATCTTTCCAAGTTAGTGTTTTCATTTTCTTCAGATAAATACCCAAAAGTAAATTGCTGGATCATATGGTCATTTTATATTTATTGAAGAAATTCCATATTGTTTTCCACAGTGGCTGCACCAATTTACATTCCCACCAACATTGCACCAGGGTTCTTTTTCTCTACATCCATGCCAATTTATTATTTCTTGTCTTTTTGAAAATAGCCATTCTAACAGGTGTGAGGTGGTATCTCATTGTGGTTTTGGTTTAATTTGCATTTCCCTGATGCTTAGTGATGTTGAGCATGTAGTGAAGGGCCCCCACCAGTAAGATAGCGAACTTCCGGCTTCTCTTCGGGGGTGGGGGGGGTCCTCAGTTCCCGCCGGCGCCACCTGAAGCCCAATCACCTCTCGCCCCACCTCCCAATCCCAGCACCTAGCCAATAGCCACCAGCCCCGTAGAAGTGACACCTCAATCAGCTCATGCCCCTTCCTATATAACCCAGCACCTTTCCCTAATAAAGCGGATTTCTCCGGTGAATTGCTGCTGTGTGTCACTCCTTTCCTTTCATGTAGGTGCTCATGTAGATGGCTTTTCATGTAGATGGCTTCCTATCTTACTGAGAAGTCAGTAAGACTATGGTCTCAATGATCTCATCAACCTGCAGCTCTCCTCCTTGTTCACATGGCCTCCTGTCTGTTTCTCAAACAACAAGGTACCACAGGGCCTTTGCACATGTTTTTTCTGCTTGGAAAATTCTTCCCCTAGATAACCACACAAAAAGCTTCCTCAATTTACTCCAGAATCTGCTCAAATATGACTTTCTCAGAGAATCCTTCTCTGATAGCCCTAAAATAGCACTTTCTCTCTCCTGCCCCTGCCAACACCTGACATCTTACAGCAGTTACATCATTTATGTTTGTTGCTTTTTTCCCCTAGCCAGAGTGGAAGCAACATAGAGGCAAGGGTTTTTTAAATTGTGTTTTCCTAGGTCCTACAACATGAATAGATGCTTATTAACTTCACTCACTCACCAACAAAAATGTAGCATATCCACGATATATCAGGCATTTTACAGAAGTTGGGGACATAGCAGTTAACAAAACAGGCAGAAAGGGAAAAAAATTTCCTCTCCTCATGGAGCTTATATATTTGTTGAATAAATAATGAATTATTAATACAATGATCTTGAAGAAACAAAAGGTTACCTACACATAAAAATTAATTTTTAAAAAGGAAAAGAATAAAGCTTTAAGTGGTAGCTCTTTTTAATAAATATTCCCAAATTTCCACTGATAAGAATTGCAAGTATAAATCAAATTTTTAAAATACTGTGACTATTTTTAATATTTTATATAAAAATCATAACTTCAGAAGCTAAATGAAGTCTGTGTGTTCTTTTGTTGACATAAGAACATCTTGCTATAGTACTAGGATTGATTTCCTAATTATTTTAGAGCTAGATTCCACAGAAACATACACATAGAAAATGAAAACCCATGTCATCTGCAGCTTTAAGAGTACATAGTGTATTCTCAAGAACAGTATCTCATTTTCTGAACTTGACCATATGAATGATGGGACTATAACCACTTTGAGGAACCAAACTTCTTTTTCCTGGTGGTAACTAGAAAACACACCAAAATGGTTGTATGTATCACAATATAGAGTTTAACTATAAGCATATTAACTGCATTAAAATGCCTCATGAAGTTAACAATCTAAATTGCCTTCCAAAATTACTGTAAGTTTATATTTCGCTTTCTAATTATTAGTAATTGTTTATCTTTTGTTATAAAAGTGCTCATTGTTTATTGTTCTACAATAAATAAAAACATTTGGATAAAGTTCTTAACAGAATACAAAGAAGAGGGCAAGTGTAAATATGATTAAAGATTAGTAGTATAAATCAGATGAATTTACATATCTAACCTTTGAAACAAATAGGTACAATGCTGTTGATATTGTGTGTACATGACAATATTTAGAATTAGAGGACTAAAACACAATTCTAACATTGATTAGGACATACATTAGAGGACTAAAGCCACTTCCAAACTTGGTCTTCAACACTACTGCCAAAATTCCTTTGTGTGTGCTCTGAGTCATAAATGTGTTTAGCAAATGCGTTTAAAAAGTAAACAATACTTTTTTTTATTGTTTTAGTATACATATATCCGATGTGATTTTTATTTTAAAAACGTATTGTTTATCTGAAATTTAACTGTAAATGGGCAACCTCTATTTTTATTTGCTAAATTGGCAACCCTACAGACAATAAATTAAAACCTTGGTTTGTTTCAAAGTGGTAATGCAAACAGTATGGCTCATTTGATAGTCTAGGTGCTAAACCAGTGCTCTAATTGGCGATTATGTCTCTCTGCATCATCTCATCCATGCTTTTGCAGGTTCACCAAAAAATACTTTAGGGATCCTGAAAGTGTGGCTCAGTAATTGTAGAACAGGAAAGAGGAAAGATGTTGGTTATCTAAGGGGAGTTCTTGAAGTCAGGCCTTCACATGTGTCTGGACACAACGGTGAAGAAAACGGGAAGCTGTGCGCAGATCTGGGCCCTTGAACCTTGGGAGGGAAGAGGAGCCCTTAGCGCGCGCCCAGCGGGGTCACGGCTGCCCGGGCAGACTAGGGGCAAACGTTACAACCTAACGGGCGGGACAGGGGGGTGGGGGCTGCATCTGTAAATCGCCTAACAGGAGAGGGAGCCACGGCTCCAGGGTCCTGCGTCGCCGCTTCGTCTCCCGCCCGGCTGCCACAGCAACCCCGGAGTCTCGCAGGAAGCCAGCTGGAGAAAGACTGGAGGACCCGCCTGCGCTTACTGGTCTGAGACATCTTGGAGATGCAGAAGCAGGAGAAGCTGAAGAGCATGACTGCGACGAGCGCGATCAACAGGTTCACCTGCTTGGTCCTCATGGAGTTGGCCCATCTGGGAACCGCGGGCAGCAAGAGGGCGGAGGCGGCCAGCTGAGCCCAAGCCGCGAGCGGAGCACTCACAGCGCCTGCGCCCCTGGACGCGCGCCCCTCGCTCCTCCCTGCAGTGTTGCTAGGGTCCCCAGCACACCCACCCTCAGGAGCACCCTTCCCCACCTGTCCTGTGGCTCCGCACTCAGCATCCTGAGCCACTTGCTAGGACTGCTAGCAGCTGAATGCAATTAACTGTGGGAAAGCTTCCCCTCTGCTTGGTACGTGATGAGTGCTCACAAACTTTATTTCCTGTAGTAGTGAGTAACTTTGGCGCCAGACTCTGGGATAAACAGTTTGCATGTATTATATTAAGCCCTCACAACATTCTAGTTCTTTTTTTTTAATATAAAATGAAGATAACAATAGTATCTACTTGACATGCTGTTATTATCTTCATTTTATCTTGAAAAAATTGAGCCAGGTTGAAAATTGAGCCAACCAGAAATTCAGGTTGCAAGCTGTAAGTGGTTGCTCTACAGGTACCGTGCATGAATAAGAAGTTCCTACACAAAATATCTATCTTTATGTATCTTTACTCAAATTCACCAAATACTGTATTTTCAAGATTCTGAAAGCACTTTGCTCTCACATCTTAATATTTTTTAAATCAGCATGTGTCTTCCAATTGATTTTTACGTTTTCTACTGTTATTTCTTCTTCTATCTTTTTTCCAAAGAAAGAAAAAACCAAAACCCTGCTAGTCAGTTAATGGTCAATGAATCAGAACACATATTTATTGAGCACCTTCTCTGTGCCAGTCACTGAACTAGGGACTAGCAATACGATATTCACCAGCTGGTTCTTGGTTACATGGTCTTCTTCATGCTCAAACAGGGACTGAACCCTACACACATATTTCTACCTGTAAAAAGTCTTCAAGATTCAGTGGTAATGCCACCTCCTCCATGAAGCCTTCATTGATCACCTATGCATAATGGAATCTCTATCCTCTTCAAATTCTTGTAGCACTTGGGTCCCTCTCAAAGCATTCAATGTGTGTTATTTAATTGTTAAGCACATATTTTATTTCTTGTACCATGTTATAAGTCCCTAGAAGAGAAAGATGATGTCTTACACATTTTCATATCATATTCCCCACTGTGCATTCAGGGTGTTTTACAGATTTAAGACATTGATTGAAATATAAGCATGTGGTACAACTGAGCTGTATTTACAACTAACCACCTATAATCCCTACCTACTACCATTTAAGCCAACAAAAAATATCACTTCAGGAAATCCAGTAGATAAAAAATACAGTAGCATTCTCAAAGATTTTCAGACTTCTGCTTTGTGATTTATCTTTTAAAATTGATGTCACATTCAGACCATGGGAACGAAAATTGCCAGGCTAAAGGTAAGTATTTGCTAAAATAACAGGAATGGGAAGAGTGACCTCTGGGGATATTACCAGCATTACAGCCATCAAGGCTTGCTTCAACCTCAGTCTAAACAATAATCTCATGACTGTTATTAGCACAGAAAAGTAAATATAGCAGGGACAGATTTTTCTAGTCTCATATACATGTAATATCCTGACAGTGAAAACAATTTGAAAGATAATGACTGTTGGAAATAATGCCAGTTGTCCTGGACCTATTTTCTGTTTCAAGTTACTTAAATGAGTCATCTGTACCCAGGGTGAGTGCCATCTGTTCAGCACAATTCAGGAAAAAGGTACTTCCATGGATCATCTTTGACAACTATCCTTCTCGAACTTTAGCATGCGGAAGAATCACCTGGAAATCTTGTTCAACAAAGATTGCTGCACCTACCCTCAGAGTTTCTAATTCAATAGGTTAAGGCTGGGACCCCAAATTTTGCATTTCTAACAAGTCCTAGATGATATTGATGCTGCTGGACCAAGGACATAACTACATTTTGAGAATCACTGTATAACAGCACTCCATTCAATCAGAGGTTAGATTTAAAAACATATAGATTATCGAGGATCACGGGAAGATGGCGGCATGAGTAGTTCAGAGGAAATATCCTCCCCAAAACATACATATTTATGAAAATACAATAAATACAACTATTCCTAAAAGAGACACCAGTGGATGCAGTACAATAGCCAGGATACATCTACATCTGTGAGAACTCAACATCACACGAAGGGGGAAGGTACAAGTCACAGCCAGGCAGGACCCAAATGCTCTCCCACCCCAAAACCCAGCGGGAAGAAAGGAGTCAGAACAGGGAGGTAGTGAAAGCCCAGGACTGCTAAACAACCAGCTCTAGAAATCCGCACCCAGAATGCAGACACAAGGTGCATGGGGTGCTGGATATTAAAGAAATGGAAAAGCAAAACCTGTGGGCAGGTCCCCGCAACTGGCACCCCTGAGACAAAAGAAAAGAGAGTGCTTTCTGCAAGTCTTAAAGAGACAGGGACCCCATAGCTCGACGAAGTTGCCCCAGCACACTCAGCCAGCAGCTGGGAATTCCGGGGAAACTTAGGCGCCCTAAACCCCGAGGAGGCAGTGCAACTCTGAAGCCCCTCATGGCACTAAGCAGCCTGCCAGTCGTTCCTCCAACTGGCGCAGACCCTGACACACTGGCCCAGTAGCAGGGGAGTGGCAGCGTGCACCAGGGGCAGAGGGGCCGGAAGGGACCGGGAGCAGATCTGTGCACCAATGGCACCAGAGGGGAGAGGACAGGCTTGTGCGAGCTCACAGCAGCACGACCAAACAGCCCGGGTGCGGCTCACGTGCACTGGTGACCGTGGAGCCAGAGGAGCCCAGTAGGGGCCCGCGTGCACCTGCAGTGGAGCCAGAGGGAACAGGCGCACTCCCAGCAGCTGATCAGAATCCCAGCCCAACGCACAGCTGCCTGGGCCAAACCCAAAGGCTGCTGCTACCACATAGCTGCCCAGCAGGGGTGCTGCTAGCATGGAGGAGCGCACCTGGCATGCCTGCCACTCCCCGTAGGGCTCCATGCTGCTCTGACAGAGACTCCACCCACAGCAGCTTAGGGGACTAACTGGGTGGCTGCTCCAGGAGTGTGGGTAACCATCACAGGCCACAGAGAAGGGCAAGGCATCCAGCAAGCAGGAAAGGACTTTCTTCACCCAGCTGACACACCCGCAACCTGCCTACAGCCACAGCTATCACCATGAAAAGGCAAAAAAATATACTCCAGTCCAAGATAGTTACAACACTTGAGAAAGGATCTGCAGAGGCAGACCTAACTAGTCTCCCTGAAAAGGAATTCAAAATAAAAATCATAAACATGATGACAGAGCTGCAGAGAAATATGCAAGAGCTAAGGAATGAAGTCCGGAGGGAGATTACAGAAGTGAAACAAACTCTGGAAGCATTTATAAGCAGAATGAATAAGATGCAAGAGGCCATTGATGGAATAGAAACCAGAGAACAAGAATGCATAGAAGCTGATGCAGAGAGATAAAAGGGTCTCCAGGAATGAAACAATATTAAGAGAACTGTGTGACCAATCCAAAAGGGACAATATCCGCATTATAGGGGTACCAGAGGAAGAAGAGAGAGAAAAAGGGATAGAAAGTGTCTTTGAAAAAATAATTGCTGAGAAATTCCCCAAACTGGGGGAGGAAATAGTTGCTCAGACTGCAGAGGCACACAGAACTCCCGAGAGATGGGATCCAAAGAGGACAATACCAAGACACATAATAATTAAAATGGCAAAGATCAAGGACAAGGACAGAGTATTAAAGGCAGCCAGAGAGAGATAAAAGGTCACCTACAAAGGAAAACCCATCAGGCTATCATCAGACTTCTCAACAGAAACCTTACAGGCCAGAAGAGAATGGCATGATATATTTAATGCAATGAAACAAAAGGACCTTGAACCAAGGATACTGTATCCAGCACAATTATCATTTAAATATGAAGGAGGGATTAAACAAT